TCCCAGCTACCCGTCCCGCGAGGTGCTCAGTACCACCGACTCGTCCGATTCTGAGGCAGCGCCGTCGGCGGGCCGCCGCCAGCAGTGACGACGACCGGCTGGCGGCGTTCGCGCGGGACTTGTCCGACTCCTGGTACTCGGACTTGCCGCCCAAACTGGACGCCGGCGGCGTGAGCACCAGCAACGCCAATAAAAAGTCCACCTTCATCCGGCTCTTCTCGCACCGTGTCAAAAGGACTACGCCGCGCGGCCGGCCGGCCAACTCGAATGAGCGCAGCGAAGGGCACACGTCCCCGACGGCGGCACTGGCGCCTCCCGCCGCGCCGCTGCCGGCGTTGCTGGCAACGCCGATCCAGGCCCATCGATTTCTACTGTTTTGTTGCCTACGTGCCGCTGCCGCCGCTCAGCCAGCACAATGGCGTGCCGGTGTTGCGCTGTCGGATCGAAAAGCGGCTCGTGCAGCGGACGGACGGGTGCGGCCCGCGCGATGAGCCGCCGCCGCACACCGAGCTGCGCCGCGCGGACGTGAAGGTGGAGCTGGCAGCGGCCTGCTCAGTCCCCTCAACGGCGTCGACCGGCTCTCCGGCGATTTGCGGTCATAAACGCCGCCGCTTCTGGGACCAAGGTGTCAGAGCGCGGCGCTGCCCGTGAGACGTTAAGTTAGCACAGGCAATGTCGTCTGCACTCCTTGCAGTTCATGTTGAATACACAACCATGTTGCGAAGTAATAGGCGCCGGGTTTTTCAGTTCATAGAACTTTTTCCCTGGCTATTACACCCCACAACCGAACACTGACACCTTGCACAAGTATGACTGTGTGTATGAATGTTAATAAATACATGAACCAATGTTGTGTTTTCGGTTCCAGTACCTTCTTTGGGCACCTCGGCAACAAGTAAGTAATCCGTTAGCTTTGCCACACCTAAGATAGGCTCCCACGTTGTTATTTGCTCCCGGGTTAACATAAACCGGTTTAACGTAACTTTTGCATCCCGGTCAAAATTGCCGGTTAACTGTCCCACCGCTCGAGACTGGCGCTAGGCTGGCCGAGCAAAAAAAAAAGTTTGTCCGCGGCTTCGTCTTATTCGCAGCTGCTGGACACGGGGGAGGGGGGGAGGAGGGGCTGCATCGGACGAAAAGCGGGCTCTGGTATTAACTGGATTTTTTGCCAGCTGGCGCCGTATGGTGGCGCTAGCAGAGCTTCTTACATATCAATGCTAGATATAAAAGAATGAATATTTACCAATCAATTTTTCATTTAAAGCCATTTGAAATATTTATGTCCATCCTACTACCGCGCTTAGGTATATCTAAAATTAAATACCTTTCGTGCGTCGCCAGCTGGCCAGCCAGCTGACGCAATCCAGCTTTTACCAAAACCCCGAAAAGCGATGACGTGAGCCCTAATATTGGCTTCACCACACAATTTGAGCCCTCAAACTGGAATCAGGTGAGCTCGAAAATGGGGATCAGGCTGAAAACTGGTATCATAGTGAGACTAGTTTTAGAGCTTGACACCGATAATGGGTACTGACTGAGCTCTGTTTCTGCGATCAATGATACCGATTTAAGGGATCGTATGAGCCCATGTGGCGCTAGCTCAGAAAGTATTCTCGAAATGTGCTGTCTGTTTTGAATATGGTACATTAGCCCGAAAACTGGTCTCTGAGCCCGAAAATCGGGACACTGTTTTCTCAGTGATGCTGGGCACAATTTATCCCCGACTTCAGCCCCACGGGCTTCGCAAACTGAAATATTCTGAAAACCCTACTCTACCGAGTCCCTGAAACACCGCAAATGACATACGGTGCAGCATTGTTACAGCATGGATGATCGAGGAAAATAAGTGAAAAGACGGTGCGGCGGCCGCGTGCCATAGTGCTCTCGCGTCTCAGGCGCGTAACATAAGAAGAATGCGAGCATACAGAAAACAGACTACATTTATTAGTTAGGAGATGACGTTGTTATATGTATGTAAAACATGACATAGCTATGTCAGCGCGCCTTGAAAGAAAGTGAAATTTTCGATGGGTAAATCTTTATGGCTCACCCTGTAAGTACCTTGTGTGTGTTCGAGTCTGCACATTATATGTTTCAGGTCAAAATAAGGTTGGGCTAGTTCACAAAAGGTCACAGAATTATAAAGCTGTAAACGGTTCATCATGTTCTGGTCATGTGACGCATCTTTATTGGCCCATTTAGGCCACCCTCATCCCTCGCCGAACCTGTCGGTTTCTATGCCATACTCCCCGGTCGAGGGATCGGGGTTAGTGGTCCTCCTCCTTTGCCGTTCCACATCTAATTGAGCTAGATCCTTGCGGAAAAAACGAGCGTCTGCGCCGTTACAAGACGCAGCGACCAGTAACCGATTTAAGGGTTTCAGATCAATCGGTGAACTCTGAGGTCAGGTCATGTGCCTCAGGGTCAGGGTTTGGTTTTTGGTGAGTCGCTTCGCCAAAAATGGCCTTAGAGCTGTGATTTGGGAAGCATCGTCTTCGCCATGCTCAGGTGCGACGAATGATATACTTTTTATTTGTGTATGGTCGGCTAAGAGTGTCCAAGTGTTGACCTCAGGTCAAGCGGTCAGATTAGAACCACTCGGGTTCGATTCAACAGGTCTCCTTGAGTTCATTGGTGGCTTTTTCAACTCGCTAGCTAAATTTGATCAGGAGCTTTTGACAAAACAAACTCCGATGACCTCAGTTACGTCATATACGGCCTAAAGCGAGGTCAACAACACAACAGTTATTCAGCTAACATTGCAGGTAATATATAGAAAATTACGTTGTCATGTGCTAGAGACCTTAGATCATTTCTGGCGTAAAAAAAGAACAGCTTCTTCATAGATAGGTATATAATAGCCGTTTTCACGACGGCCATCTGGTTCACATCTGGTGCACATTTGGTGCAGATTAGGTGCAGATTTGGTCAAATCAGGCTCAGTTTGTCTCTTACTAGCTATCAGCTAGGGTTGCACTAATTGCTTATATGCCTGCTTTGTCATATTATCAGAGTATCCGATGAAAACACTGAAATAAATTCCTAAAATACAGATATTTGCTGTAAAAGAGATTAGGTGCAGATTTGGTCAAATTAGGTGCACTCGCTGGATAGCCCGTCGTGAAAACGGCCAATATCGGTCCATCCGCATCCTGGCCTTCGGCTTTTTGAGATGAGTACGAATGAGCCCAGGCCCGGCGAGGGCTAGCGTATGGCCTTTGAAAGCCCATTAGTAAGGGCTCCAAAGTCCAAAATCAATTTGAATATTAGACAGCTATATCATAGACATTCCGCTCATATCGATTTTGTCGCAGGTAAGAAACTAAGGTGGGGCGAGACACCTGCAATCGATTTGCGAGCCATTCGTCACCTGGCCTATGAGTCAAAGGAGTGGCGAGGAGCTCTTTATGTAGGAATGACTCACCTTTATGGACCACTGCTTTTAGCATGGGGTGGTGCTCGTTGTCCAGGTAAACCCTAACTAAGTGGTTCCATGGCCGATCCTTATCGTAAGAAGGAGCTGCTGTTCTTTAATCATTTCAGATGGATGGTCTAAAGTCCGAATGGAATAAGCATTTGTAGTAAGAGAGCGTGCCCAAAGATTTAGCTGAAATCGAAACATTGCTGAATGCGCCACGTTATTTTCACTGGTGCTTCATGGCGAGCGGTGAAGCCATTTACTAGCGGGATCGTATGCAGCTTCCAAAGATGTGCCATGCGGTGCAGCATGCACTCAGGCGTTCGTCACTACTGCCATCTAGTGATAGGTATATAAGTTAGTGTTTAACATGCATTGCAGTTCCAATAACTGGTCAGTTTTGACAAAGCATGAACCGTCGGCTGCGTGCAAATCGAGTGTGTTTTGTGTGAAACTAATTAAGGTCTAGGTACATAGTGCAACCGTGGAGTGGGTCATACATAAGGCTATATCATGCGTACGTATATACCTGGTCTTTTCCACAGTTCCCAGTCCTGTACCATTGTCGGGTAGCGTCCTGTTTCACTTTGCCTCAGTTTGGTCTTTCTGTCGGTCACTGGTTATCCGATGTGCAGGCACTTTTACCATCACCTCCAGTCACCTCCAGTGCACTCTGTGAGCGGCACAGCGCCCCCGCCGGGCGGGGAGGCGGTCTACAGCGCCCTCTGCCACCGCTCGCGCCGCCCCTCTCCGCCCTCTGCTACCGCTCGAAGCGCCCTTCCCTCTCTCCACCGCCGCCCGCACTGTGCACAGGGTACAGGGTGGTCCTAACAGGCGTGTCCGCTGTCCAGCCCGCGCGGCCGGTGCCGCAGCCTGGTCCGGCGCCGGCGGAGAACTGCCCAGACCACGTGCCGGTCAGAAGAGACCCAGGGCGCAGGCCCGGTGTACCACGATCGATCGTCATCCCTCCCGGCTGCGAGAAACGCACGGCACGCTGCAACACGGCCTAAATGGCTGCAACACGGCTCAAAACCGCTGCAGCACGGCCTAAACAGCTGCAGCACGGCCTAAACGGCTGCAACACGGCCTAAACGGCTTCACCACAGGCCAGGCGGCTGCGGAGGGCTACGGGGATGGACGGTGACAAGGGATCGTGTCATCGATCGAATTAATAAAATAATAACGTAATTGATCTTGTATGCTCTCGACAATTTTGCGAAGAGTTTGAATTAATTTGCGGCAGCATTTCATGCTCGTCCATTTCATACCTATCTGTTAGGCACATCAGCAGCAAGCAATAAGATGGGAAGAGAAAAAGCATTTTTTTTTTGTAAATCGGATACAAAATGTGACTAACTCCGCAACCAACTATGTCAAAGTTTATGTGACCGGCTAAAGTTCGTTACAATAACGAAAAGTCCATATCACAGTGTAAATGGCAATTCATGCATGCCTTTAAAAACATTTATATAGTTATTATAGCTAATTCCAATAACAGGCCTTCAAGACAGATGCCCTTTATTCTTCCCCATAGTGTTCCCTATGACCGACGTGGCTTGTATTATTATGACTAAAATCGTAATAGCGTTTCTTTGTATTTAACAAAAACGTTGGCAGAAATTCCTGAATATTCGCCTTTGGACATTTATTTATAAATACGATGTGATGCGAAACATTACAGATTCGCGGCACACACGATGGCTAAACGAACATATTCCGCGTCACACTTTAGCGGTGACACGATATCAAACCTAAAGCTTGAGGAAGTAAATGCAGAAAAGACCTTTCATAAATCGTTACTCTAGAATCGTCATAAAATCGTTAGTTGTAAATAGTTAGCCGTTAAATCGCAACTACGGTAAAATTGATACATAAATTGCCCAATGCTTCGCTTCAGTAGGTATGCAAACATTCAAAAATGAAAATCAAAATGGCTATTTTGGCGGGGCCAAAATGGCTATGTTTGTATACCAGACGTTGAGGAAGCTAATTAAGTGAAATGTCGGGCAATTAGTGTATCTATTTTAATCTACTAACGTATATCGATTTACAATTAACGATTTTATGACGATACGATTCCCGAGTAACGATTCACGACAGGACATTGCTTCCTTTACTTCTCAACCTGTCTAACTGCATTAACCTAAAGCTTACTGACGACATTTGGTACAACATCACAAGCTCTGCATTTGTGGAGGCTGTTACGAGCTCACCTGAACAGATGGCAGTATGAGCCAGCTACTCATCCTCATTATAATCAACACAATACATACATTGCTATGATTGTTTCGTCAGAGCCTGCGTCTGCTCCTGTCAAATTCCAAAGGCTACTTAGCCACAGGCCGCCTCATGCGTTGGCCGCGTCGGTCTCCTATTAATTGCCCTGTAAGGACAGCCTGGACCCAAATCAGTCAACCTCTGTCGTCAGTTCTGCCAACATCTTTCGTCAGTTTGGACGGTGAGGCTTGGGCACTATGCCAGTCGATGCTCCGTATACAGCTGTTCAGTCAATTCCCGCACGTTCGTGCAATATCCGCACGTTTAGTCAATGCCTGAGCGATCGTTCATTCCCGCACGTTCGTTCGACTTCCGCACATTCGGTGTAGTCCCGCAGGTTCGCTCAATTTCCGCACGTTCAGTCACTTTCCGTACGTTCTGTCAGTTTCTGCTCCTAGCTCAGCCAGTACCCTCCTCCTGCTATGGGTCAGGCCCCGCAGCCAAAAGTAGCCCGGCAGCGGCGTCGGTTGATGAACACCAGGTCGTAGACGACGGCCACCTTGCCGTCCACGCCTTCCACGTCCCAGGCGCGGCCGGTGGCGCTGTCTGCAGCCGAGTAGACCAGCCTCAGGCCGAGCGCCTGCAGCTTCCACAGCAGGCTGTGGTGGCGGCGCAGGCTATCCAGACTCAGGTAGACTCGCATCCCCAGCTGGCGGACGTCGGACAGCGCCTCGATGTCCCGCTCCAGCCATCCCCACTCGTCGCCCTGCACGTCCACGCGCAGAAAGTCGATCACTCGGCCGGCGTGACCCACCTTCTCCTTCAACTCAGAGAGTGTGAGGGCCTGGGCGCCGGTCTCGGTCCGACCGCGGCCGGCCAGTCCCAGCCGGTGGAACTGCACCCCGGCCGCGTGCTCGGGCCGCGGCGTGCTGGTCGGCAGCGCCGGGTCGAACACGTGCACCTCGCACTGGTAGTGCGCCGCGTCCCTGGCGAAGCTCCACTCGCCGGCCGAGCTGGCCGAGTACACCAGACACTGACCCGACTCGGGCGCGTACGCGTCGTCCCGGCAGAGCAGCGTGTGTCCCGAGAGAGCGCCGGAGGAGGAGCAGCTGCCGCCGAGCAGCTGCAGCCGCCGGCAGTAAGCCGTCGGCGTCTCCAGGTAGGCGTACAGCTGGCGCGACACCTCGAGTGTGGCGACGGGCGTCGGCCAGCTGAGAAGAACCACCGGCTCCTGGGGAGGCCAGCCGCCCGACGCCAGCTGACTGAGGCTCCAGCTCCTGCGGACACAGCACGGGGAGGTCAGAGAAAGGTCACGGGTCAGAGACAGGTCAGAGGTCAGAGACAGGTCAGAGGTCAGAGACAGGTCAGAGGTCAGAGACACCAGCTGACCCCAGCTCCTGCGGATACGGCATGGTCAGACGTGAGGGGCACGTATGGACACGGTGATAGTCAGGGACACGGTCAGACGCTAGTTACACGGTCAGATGTCAGTTACACGGTCAGATGTCAGTTACATGGTCAAACGTCAGGAACACGGTGATAACGTCAGAGACACGGTGATACGTTAGGGACACGGTGATACGTCAGGGACAGAGACAGATGCCAGCTACACATACAGACGTTAGTTACACGGCCAGACGTCAGGGTCACTGTGATACGTCAGGGGCACGGTGTTACGTCAGGGACCCACAAGCAAATACTATATCAATTCATATGAATAAGCCACTGTGCCCTGGACAAAGCGTCATTATTAGCTCTGGCCTCTGCGTCATACAGCCGGCTTTGGCAGCAGCGGGCGAGTGGCGAGAACGAGAAGCATCGGTGCTCGCCGACCAAAGTTCTCGCGAGTGAGCCGCGATAGTGTGGGCGCGGACGTGGTCTCGGTATCGCTGCGGCCGGTTATCGCTGAGAGTCTTTGGTGACGTCACACTCGCAGTGACGTCACGTGACGTCAGTGGCGCTTGGTAGGGTCGTTATAAAATTGATAATTATTCGGGAGAGGCCATTTGGATTTACAAAAAAATGCCCGAACATTTTTCCATGCACAAGTTCTTGAGATATAACTTTATAAAAGAAGCTAGGAGGGGTCTCAAAAGCAGTTCGGTTTACGTTAGGTAGCCCTCATGGAATTATCGTGATTGGTGCCCTCCCTCATAGTGTAACTGTAGTTACGGTACCGTGCGCACATTAGGCACCCTACACTGCCGGTATTTATCATAATCAGCCCCTCCTACCCTCCCCTTCCCCGGGGCTGCGTGGTTGAATAGCCCAGCGGGACGTGGGTTAAGTTATCAAAATTATCCCGGCACAAGCGCCAAGGAAATATTAACAATGGACGATAGATAAGACAAGCTCCTGTCGACGTCAGACAACGGCTGTAGTTTCGATCGGCCGGTCCCGTCGAATGACCTGTTCATGGAATAAAAGCGTTAGCGACATAATAACTTATAGCCGCCGTAGCGTTCAGTGGCTCCCTGTATGGCTACCTGGTGCCCCACACGCAAGCATAGGGGAGAGTGGGGAAAGATGCCCAGGGTTTGACTATGTCATATATTATTCAAAAATGACGATCGGAAAGCCAAAACTTGGAGTTTCAACGGAAGCCGACATCATTTTTCTCCAAAAATATCACACTTTCGTGCCTGAAATATGATAACATTTTTTGCTATTAAGCATTTTCCTGAAGAAGTGAAAGGGGGCATCTTACCCCACAGGGTGGGAAAGACGCCCCCTGACGTTGGGTAAGAGGCCCCCTGCACTATAAGTGACATAAATAGGCACGTGAATTGCCTGAACGAATCAGTATTCCCTTCGAGCCTGCAATAGACACTAAACGTCATCGTAAGGGCCCTCAAAAGTAGTCGTAAGGGGCTTCAGAGGTCATCGTTAGGGCCATCATAGTCCAGCGTGGCCAAACAAGCCTCCGTGGTGGCGTTCGGAGACCACTGTGGGGCCCTTATAGGTCTTCACGATGCTTGAGGGGCCTCGAGCCCATCGTGGGGACCTCAGATGCCAGCGCGGCCCGTGGAGCCAACGTGGGAGCCCTCAAAGGATGTCGTGAGGGGCCCTGGAACCAATAATGGGGCCCACAGAGGCCGTCTTGATGGCTCTCAGAATCAGATGCCGCCCAAAAAGTCGCTGTGTGGGCCGAGAGACCGGCATGGGGAGCACCCGACCGTACCGGACTCTCATTAGTCTCAGATCGGCTTTTGTCTCTCATCACAAGTATGTAATAAATGATTTGACGGGCTGCTTGAAGGACAGCCTACGAATTTAGGGGGGCGTCTTTCCCCATCAGGACAGGGGGCATCTTACCCCAAGGTACCGAAGTAACATTAAATCAGCACAATTTGTTAGCCATAAAACTACACCCTGAAACAAACTGTTTGGAACACAGTACACGCATGTTAATGTATCACGACTATAGCAAGGGACGCAAAAATTATCTACCTTCTTTGATATTTACAATGTTTTGACGCCAAAATATTTTTTGAAAGCAGCAAATAAAAAACATGCAATCACCAGCCAGTCGTTGCCCAACTGAGCTTCGCAAATTTTTGTGCAGTTAACAAGGCAGGCTTCCGCTTTACGCCAAGAACATTAATTTCCAGGTTCGATTCATTGTTTCCCCGCTAGAGGGGGTGGGGCGTCTTTCCCATCCTGGGCATCTTACCCCACTCTCCCCTACATGAACAACGCTGCCGTGTGTACTGCAGTATGACAGCAAAGGCGGCAAGCGGCACAAACACTACAGAGGTATTTATGTGGAGATAGTTGATGGACGGTGTGCTTCCATGAATCAGCGGGTCGAGACAGTCGAATTTATTAAACCGACAAGTCCCAACCATCGCAGCCCGGGGGAGGGGGGTTGTTTTCGTCCTCCCCCCGTCTAACTCCGCAAATAAAGAAGCTATGGAAACAGGTATTAGGTAACTATTAGGTAAACGAAAAACGGAGCGAAGATATAAAAACAAAGCGAAGAAAAGTAGGTACCAAACGAATGGTCTCAGCGAGACAATCCTGAGGCATTTGAAATTGTTGTCATCAGGTCGTTTTCAAGGTTAGAGGTTAACCCGCGCCCCGCTGGGGGGGGGGGCAGAATCTGCCCCCCTCCCGTTTTTCGCCAATAACTTCCAAACGCGTTACGCCAGCGACGTCAAACTTTCAGTACCTTATCATACATCAATTTGACACGTTCCCTGAAAATTTGAGCGAAATCCGTCGGAAAATTTTTGAGAAATTGACGTTTTAGTGACGTCATGTTCGCCATTTTCGCCTCAAAAACGGCAAAATTTCAAACGCCGCTAACATCTTCATTTTTAAAGGAATCAAGACGTAACAAAAAAGGTTATACGTGATTCTACTTTGTCTATCAAATGGCTATCTCGGTTTTTTGAAAATTTTGGATTTTGGCCAAAATTTTTCCAAAAACTGACTTTTTTGGGAAAATATTTATAAAATCCAAAATTTTGAGTTTATCGAAAAAAACGGAATATATGTCAAAGAACTGGTCTATGTGCACCTACATACCAATTTTTAGAAGAATCGGTTCAAAAATGTGGGAGTTATTCAAAATTTTATGACGTCACGACACACAAAAATTTTGAAAAATGATTTTTTGGAAGTTCTAGACCTCGTACGGAAACAAAAATAGCACCATTCGATTCGCCGTGAAAAACTGCATCGGATAGACACCTTTTTAGGCCTAAACAACCAACTTCAAAATTTGACCTCACTTGACCTGACCTTGACCTGACCTCGACCTGAAATTCATCCAGAGGTGGTCCATATCACTTATTGAGTGTGCCTATTGAATTCCATGAGTAAAATGACCCATAAAACATGTGTCGCACATGCCCTTCTCTATATTTTTTTTTTGGTGACCTGACCTGACCTTACCTGACCTTGACCTTGACCTTTGAATGACATTGTGTGCAACGAATATTGTCTTGGTAGTCTAAGAACACGTTTTGGGCAATCAGTCTCAGTCCATTCTTCGGCAACTACGGTGCAAGGCCGATACTGTAGAAACTTGCATTTTGTACCCTTGACCTGACCTTGACCTGACCTCTGACCTACTTAAGCAAAAAAATTTGGGCTCTTAAGATCCGCCTTGTTGAGAGCTTTCGATTGCCGTTTTCCCCGTCTTTCTACGACCATCGGTTCGGAAGTTAGACAGGGGGGGGGCAGAATCTGCCCCCCCCCCAGCAGGGCGCGTATGGCTGAATAGCCCAGCGGGGCGCGGGTTAAAGGAAAAGGGCCACCTTTAACCCGCGCCCTGCTGGGGGGGGTGTTTGAACACCCCCCCTTGTGGTTTTTCGCGAATATCTCAAAAACGGCGGCGCGGAGCGCCGCCGTTTTTGGTACACCTTACCATACATCAATTCTACACATGTTGTGAAAATTTCAGACCAAGGTCATTCAAGGTCAGGTCACCAGGTCACTTGAAGTGACCTCACCTCATAAAAACTTTCAATGTCTGTCATAGCTACACCGAGTGACCGATCGCTTTGAAACTTTCAGCGATTGCTAAGAGCAATAGCATGTACAAAATGTATATCTCAGAATTTTGATATCGATGACCTAAGGTCAGGTCAATTTTGCGACCTCCCCATTATAAGTCAATGGGAGAAAATTGAAATGCGCCTCTTTTGGATGAAACACATTATAAACACTCCCAAACACCAAATTACAAGTGGTTTAGACACACTGAACTTGAAAATGGTGTCCGTGACCCTTGTTTATGCCCTGAGGTCATCTTAGGTCACGAATGGTATGTAACAGTTTTTCGCAAATAACTTTTGATAGAGGCATGCTAGAGCGATGAAAACGCCTTAGATGTGTTCAGCTCGACGATACGGATCGACTGATATGCAACATGACCCTTTCCGGTCAGGTCATGACCTTGACCTGAGGTCAAATTTTCAAGTTGACCTTTCAAGGTCAAGTCATAGTTCATTCGATGCGTCTTGACGAGAGGAACACGATGCCTGTAAAAGTAAGCTCGTACAAGGCTTGGGTCAAAAGTTATTGCAGAAAAACTGTTTTCGAAAAAATCGGCTATTTTTGCAGTTTTTGCCCCCTGCAGGCAAAACCGTTGACGTTAGGTCAAATCTGAGAGAATTACTCAGAAAGGGCGTTAATAGGGCTATCGAATGCGCTTTTCCGCGGCGCTGTAGCTCTATTGGTTCTCGAGTTATGCGTTGGCTTCTTGGAAATTTTCGACATTCGACCTGGAAATCGGCGAAATTTTGCCTTCAATGACCTCTGGTGACCT